TCTTGCTTGTATGTATTAAAATATTGGTAACTAAAATTTGATTTTCATAAAGACTAAAAGGATTTTTCAAATTTACAAAATAATTCCTTATTAGTAAATTTATAGATACCTTGGAGTAATAGGCAAAGCAGGAATCTAAAAATATCGAGTATTTTAATTTTCCATTCTGTTAATTTTCACACCAAATATTCCTTTTACATCAATATTGCATTTATAATCGTTTTCTGAATAAATATGATATGCTTCATTATTGCCTCTAATGTAAATAAGAAAATAATTACTAATCTTTTTAAAGTTTTTTTGAGAAAAAACTAAACTATTATTATGGTTATTAGCCCTCTTCTTACTCTTCTTAATTATCTTCATTTTCTTATTAATCTTATTCAATATATTATAATTTTAATTGTTTCTCTTCTAGCAAATCCATACATTATGAAGTGACTTGAAATAATTTAGGCTCTAGAATTTATTTCAAATACTCTTTGTCTTATTCTGCAATAGATTATAATAGTGATTTATAAACTTAAGATGTTTGATTCAAAAATCCTTCTCCTAGTTTTTAGGTATAAAATGCAGGAATTAGATTATAAAATCTTGCTAATTGAGGCTCATATAAATAATCTAAACCATGAAATGCATAAGGTAATATTCTTTACATTAATTATTTATATAAATAATCATAAATATAAAAATGATTGATAATATTCATTCAACATATTTTTAAGTTTTAAAAGCTTTAAGGATTTATAAGAATATTATCTATATAAATGAAATTCATGTATTAATAGTTATGAATAAGATTATTTTGATATTACCAATCAAATTATTTGCTTAATTCATAAAAAATCATGATTTTAGTTTATCATAAATTTTATGATTTATATAATAATAAGATAAGATAATGATTTTTAAAATGAATGTTTTTAGGTTTGAATTTATTTAGTATCAATTTTTATTCTGCTTTTTACTTAGATATTTTTGTTATATAGTATGATCAAAATATATTTACAATTAAGATTTATGAATCATATTTTTTAATACACTATTATTGGGGATTTATTTTCAAAAAATACTTTATATAGTATTATTATGATATAGATTCATCATCAAAATTCCATACTCTTTAAGCTTTAGAATTATTATTCAAACTTCTTGTAAATTTATCTCTTCTTTGTTATATGTTTATGTGAGTCCTATTATTTATTTATTTTTTATAAAAGAACTTAGATATAGACAGAACATTAGACTTTATAATTCTTTGATTTATTTTAAAAATTATGATATTTAACTATTATTGGAATTATTTTTATATTAACGCAATAAATTGCATCATTTTATTATTCTATATTTCTGAATTATAAAAATGATCAATAATTCTTTGCTATCAGAGGAAATAGATTTAACTAAATCATCTATAAGAAATGATTAAGAGATTGTTCTCATGTAATCGGCAATGAGATATAAAACAATTAAAAATAATCTTTAACTAGTGATGATCCTAAATTTTATTTGTCTTATAGGAACAACGTATAATTGCAATTTTATGAAGTTTTGCGATGGCATTTTATTAATGGTTTTTGATAGTACTTCCAACTAATAAGACAAGGATTTGGCTGAATCTACTATATGTTTACGATAAATAAGTGGAAAAATATATGAGTTATAGTACATATGAGAACTCAGAATATAATTTTTGCCTTTATATAAAAGATTTATCTTAAAATGATTGTCTCTATGAATTAAGATTATTAGAAGCTATAGGTATATGAATATAAATATAGTTAAAGGAATCTTTTGCTTTTGTTGTATTATGGTTTCTTTAATATTTTTGAGTTATGACATTATTAGACTAAAACACTTATTGAAAGCATTTGAATAATAATAAAAATATTAATCTAGACTAAAAGGAGTTATAGTTTATTCACTAATAATTGTAGGATAATTTGTTTCTTTACTTGTATACTTCTTTACAACTATTTTGCTTACAAGTTTAAGAGAAATTGAAAGTTTTATGTTTAAATTAATTTAGCTCATTTTGGATCATCTTTCTGGGTAAATTTATTTTGCTGTATATCTCTTGGAATCTTTGCATGCTATTACAGAAAGTCAAAAGGTAGAATTCTTAGATTTTAAATAATGGAAAAGTTAATAAATTAAGAACTAGCAGAAGATTCATTAAATCATTTAGATAGTTCAGAGGCTCATTTTTGATCTAAATTCTATTAAATTTATAATGATTAATCTTATGTTTATATACTGTATTCAAAAACTTAAAGTAAACACTTTTATCAATATTTTTGTTAACTATAAATTCAACAGTAATAATTTGAAACAGATCATTGTTATAAATAAAAAAGTGGGCTTCCTCAAGAATCGAACCAGATTTAATTGCATCCTAAGCAAGAGTACTACCAATATACTTTATAGCCTCTTTATGATTATATTATTTATTAAAAATTTTGTGTAGATTAGATATTGAATCATTATTATTTTAAACATATATATTTTAGAATATGTTAAGATTCTCATTTTATATAAAAAAATCTTATTGTTATAAAAGAATTCAGAATTATTTTTATGATTAAATAATAAATTATCAGTTGATGATAAATTAATTTTAAGTTCATAAAATGATAGTGCGTACACCTATGGATATTTAGAATATGTAATTGTTAAATACTTAACAAAATAAAAATAATATTTAAGCAACTAATAAAATTGATAAAGCAATATAAGAATGTATAAACAGATCAACTCTTCAAATCGATGTTTTAGAATAAATAAGAGCAAGATCAAAGGATAGAAAAAGCAGTTAAAAAAATACTACTAGTAGAACAACTAGAAGATATGAAGAGTAAAATTAGAATTAGTTAATTTAAAATGAATTAACTAAACCAATTAAATTAGATTTTTAATAAGAAGGTTAAGAAAATATATTTAGAAATGAATAATTATAAAGAAAATAAAGTGTATTTTAAATTAGATAAAAGGATCTTGATTAAATGTTTGAAGAAACAATTACAAAAAGCAGATAAATTACTTAAAAATTTAATTTTATTAGATGAATATTGTTAAAAATAATTTATGATTATAAATTTCATAATTATTCAAGCTTTTTATGATCAACTAATGGATTATTTTTAATAAGTAATTTTTTTGCTTATTCTGCATGATCAAAAGTACAATTATGATCTTCTGGCAATCTATGTTTATTACAAAAGACTATTTTGCATTTACATTAAATGCCTGATATTCCTAGCTTTCTCTTGCATACATAACATTTTGAAGGATCTTGCTGATAAATTTAAATTATTTATATACCTGAACATTTACTTATTAATTTTATTATAATTTCTCTTCTGGTACTTATTATTATTATTGTTGTTATTGTTATTGTTCATTATCGTTTTATTAAATAGTTCTATAATATTCAACGAATATACTTATAGCATTTAGAACAATAAAAATTAGTTTTTGCACTTCCAAAGAAATTTTAACATAATGGACACAATTTTGTTTCTTATTTTACTTCTTAATTTTTTGATTATTCCTCTGTAGCTGCTTATTAATTATTTTGCATTTTTATTTTATTTAATATAATAAATAACTAATCCTTATAGTGATTTAAATTGAAAAAATATAATTGATATCAATTTTGTTAATTTTTTTACCTTAATAAACTCTATAATGCTTATTCTAGTTCTTGCTGTCTAATTTATAAATAAAATATACCTTTATTTATTATTTTAAAGTATGTTACATTTTTAAATTGATTAATCCTAATTAATATCTTATATAAAAGGTTTTTTCACTTCAAAGCTAGATCCAATTAAAGACTGATCAGAATTAGGATCATCTAATTAAAATTCTTTTTTTTCTTACTCAAAATTAAAAAATGGATGCTATAATAATTTATCAGTTGAATATTATTAATGATCTGGTACAAAAATAATGTCTAATAGATTTTTAGATAGTGCACTTGCTTATTATGGATATGGAGGTTTTTAAACTTCTGATATATTCTTAATCAATTCATCAAAATTAAGTATATAACCACCAAACATTTCTATTATTACAGCCCCTAAAGATAAGATATCTATTGCAAATGACTTTTATTTTTCATTAATATCAAAATCTTGATCAAATTAAATAAAATTTTTAAAATTAGATAATTTAATTGTGCCTTCACTATCAACTAAAATAGTAGAAGTTTTTATGTTGCGATGTATAATATTTTTTTTATGAAGATATTGAATGCCTTCTAAAATCTATTTACTATATATTCTAATATTAGATTCTTCTAGATCAATTTTACTCAAAACTCTTTTTAAAGAACCTTATGATATATATTCTAAAGCAATATCTAATTAAGTAAAATCAGAACTTATCTCTGTAAAATAATACTTGATTATATTCTTATGCTTCAGTCGTTTCAATAATTTTATTTCAGCCTTTAATTAATCAATCAATTGATATTTCTAATTAATTATAAATGATATTGTAATATACTTATTCTTTTGTCCCTTATATCTTAACAGTTTTAATAGCCATTATTTTACCTGTTTTATTATCAAGAGCTTAATAAACTTCAAATAAGGATCCTTTTCCAATTAATTCACTTTTTTTATAATCTCTTTTCTTCTATAATATTTGTTCTTACGTTGAGTAATTAAGGTTTGATGATTATGACAATATCTAATTTAAAAAATAAAAGATTACATTTTATATTTGATATTATTAAAATTGTGAATCATTGATATTATTTTTATTGTTTTATTTATCTTTTCTAGATAATTTGCTTCCACAATATCCCATTATTTATATAAAATAATAATATTAAATTAATAATTATAATATAAGAAACCATTAAAAATTTATATTTAAATTACAAAGAAATTCTATAATTTTCTTATATTTTTTTTATTTTTTTTTATCCAATATCTGATTAGTAATGATTAATATAAATGAATTAAGATATTATTGATAATATGAATCAAAATTCATTTTATTAACTAATTCAAAATTTTATCAAATTCAATAAACTTATTTTAAATATGTTTCTTTCTATATTGATCTTTCTTTTTCTTCATTTACTATTATTGTTATTGATATTCTTCCATATTAACAAAACTTTTAATAATAGGTAAACATTATTATTAAACAGAAGATTACTAATTTTATGATTAATTTTCTATAGTCTTTTATCTAATATTAGAACTGTTCATCTTCACACGAGATTATCTATTACGCAAAGGAGTATAATTAATTTTTTTTATTTCTCCAAGTGAAGGTTATTCTTTTTAAGTTTTGTCTATTTCTCTTGCAACATAAATTCTACGAAAGATTTATTTTTTTAATTAATCATCTTAATTACTAGATGTTCTCTATCTTACACTATTCTACTAGAATTATTGTTATTATTATTAAATCTATTAGATAGTAATTTATTATTATTAATCACTTATTTTCTTACCAAATACTTCATTTAATTTTTATCTTAATTACAAATAATCTTCTCCTTTTATTAACTCTTTAATAGTTTTAATATCCTTGATAACACTTTGTTAAGCATATTTAGGAGAATCAAATTATAGGACTGCTGATTTCAACATTAATTCTTGATTATGTAGAGTTAATTTGACATCACACTCACCAAATAAAGTCAAATTTTGAATATCCTTATATTCATATTCTATATACTTGATTTTTTTAAGCCATATAATCTACATTCAGTAATTGCAACAGCCTCCCCTTCAAAATGATGTATCACTTGTCTTCCATTCTGAAACATGATACCATCAGCTATAAATACAATTGTATTCTCTATATTTACAACCTATTTATGCATAACTATAATCCTATCTAAATATTAGAATAGAAATGTTGGTAGTGTAGAGTATTTGTTTAAGAGTTTGTTTTAAGTTATCAGTTGTAAATATTTGAGATCTTCCTTAATTTCATAATCTAGATGTGGCCATATGTTATTCACTTTAATAATTAATACTCTATGATTATAGCTTTCTTTTTTTAATGCATAGAGAATTTACTAACAGAGACCCATTTATGTAAATGCTTAATTTGGTAGAAATACAAATTAATCTGTTGTGAGTTTCCCATCTAATGGAATATAGATGTTTTCTCCTTTGTCATAAAGTTTAGAACTACTGCAATCAAAATTTGGTTCTATTTTAGTATTCAATTTTTTAAGCATTGGAATTTCTAACATCATAAAAATATAATTAAATTGAAATAATAATCTAATATGTTTATTTGAGTTTACAATTAAAAAAGGGTTTAGATATATGAATTAATCACTATTGAAAATATATGAATTATAAATGTTTATTTAGATATAGCTTTGAAATATTCAACTCTAATAAATATTTTTTTATTTATCTGTATTAATTATTATTATAAGAAATGTCAAATTTTACATAATCATTTCATGGAGCTTCATCTTTTGGAATTGGTTAGAGATTGAACATTGTATGATAACTCAATAATAAAAGTTTGCATAAAAATAATAAAGTCCTAGTCCTCATCAATATACAATATAATCAACTTTATCTACAAGTGCTTCGAAATTTGGAAAGTCATTACGTACATAATTTAATAATGTTACACCTCCTGTTGGTAAATATGATTTGGATTAAGAAAATGTATTTAGAGCATATTATTTATTATAGAATAGAAAATTAAAAATAACAATCAAAGGAAAAAGAAAATAAGAAAAGGTTTCTTCTATCGTTGGGTAAAGTGTTTGTTCTATTTTTAGACCTGGAAGCTATACTATTGAACCTCCAAAATCAAATAAAAAATATGGTTTCGGAGATAGATTTTTAATGACCTATGAAACTGAAGTACCTGCACCTAATCAATATCATTTGAATAATAATTGTTTGAAATCCAGCATTAATAAAAAGAATGGTTTTATGTTAAGTTCGAGCAAACAGGATAGTATTTATCCAAGATCATTAACTCCTGCGTATTCTTATTTAAACAATCCATAAGGCCTGGTCAATATGAAATTGATCTTAATCAATAAAGCACCAATCAAACCTTCTCAAAAGCCCCAAGAGATCCTTATTATTTAGATACTCCAGGTCCTGGAAGTTATCATTATGAATAAAAAGAATCTAAAGGATTTTCGTTCTTAGCTAAGTATAAGTAACCTGATCCTTCAAATTATCCAGGACCAGGCACTTATGATATTTAAGATAAACTTAAAGGAAGTGGAACAATTAAATTTAATTCTATATTAAGATAGACTATTTTTGGTTAAATAAAAGAAGAAAGTCCTGGTCCTGGAACATATAATTAATATTCTTAAATGAATAAAAGTAAAGGTACAAAATTTTAAAAATCCCCAAAATTATACGATTATTCTAATAAAATTCCAGGTCCTGGAGCTTATGATAGTAAATTGTCAACTTTACAAACATAAGGAGGAGTTATGGGCAAATTGTATAGATCAAAAAGAATTTGTACAACTCCTGGACCTGGATAATATGATATAGATTAATCATTTGATGATAAATTAGTCAATATAAATAGATGGAGTAAATCAAAAAGATTTTAAGATGAACGAACTGATGTTATTGGTCCTGGATAATATGATATTGATCGTTCTTTAATGAAAACAGGTGTTTCATTTACAAAATAAAAAAATAATAGAGATAAAATTTAAAAACAACTTTTTGAGTCTCCAGGTCCTGGACATTATCTAATTGATTCTGAAATAGGATTTATACCTGAATACTTAATCAAATAAAAATGATTTCATAAAATTATATTTAGCTAAAATTTGATCAGTTAAATAAAATTTTAGATTATAAATTCTAGAAATTTAACTGAATCCATTTTATTCTAATAACTTATATTTGAATGCAAATGAATCAATAACTAATGTTTATCTTCATATTATTTTTAATAGTATTAAATTATTTTGAATTCAATAAATAGTTTTTTTATTCTATTTGGTGTAAAATCTTTGATTTATATAGCTTCATTTAAATTTTATACATTAGAATTAGCAAAAATAAGATAAGAAAATGTAGAATTAAAATGTGCTAATCAAAAATAATACATCTTTGAAAGATTTTAAATATGTAAGTATTTGTTTAATTATGAATTAATAAGAGAGATGCCAATCTTATAAGTCGATAAATTATAAAAACATTATTAATAATACTTAGATAGATTAGTTATATTAGTATACTTATAATCAAAAAGTGATTTGCTATTAATATTTATACTTATAAAAAAGAATGCCAAAAAGAAATTATCAAATTTCATAATTTATATTTAATATTCTAAAATATATATGATATTCAGTAAGAAAATAGATTGAAAATATAATTGAAATATCCTTTTTCTAAACATTTTATGAATCATTAATTAACATAGACTGGAATGTGACGTTCTGAAAACTTTTTAGCTTTAACTTTGATGTTTTCAACAATCATAGGCTAAATATCACGACTATTGATAGGTTCATCATTTGATTTAAATTGAGGTAATATTGCAAGAATAATTCCTCCATTTTAATAGTGTGAAGATACTTCTCTAATTTAAACTCTAGTAAAGAAAGCTGTGCCTTTTATTAATGGTACACATAGATGACCTTTTAATATCTATTCACCTTTGTTATTGACTTTAATTTCTTTTGGATATTATTCTTAGGAGTATATTGCAACAACCAATTCTATTTTATTAGGATTTCGGACTAACTCTCCATTCTTATTTTTTAGCTCCACTCTTAATTAAAAGATACGATCCCTATACAGTGGTGTTTCAAGAGGATCAGCAAGAGTTAACTTATATTTGTATGACTTATCCAGTAACTAAAATAATAAAAATAAAGTTACAGATCTTAGATTGAATGATATGTTTAATTATGAGTTAGTGAATAATTCGTCATTTCGTTTAATTTAGATTTATGAGCAAGAGAATTCAGGTCTTCCTTATTAAAGGAGTTTATTATTAATTTATTGAAATTTAAGCAAATAATCTGTAAGAAGATTATTAAATTTATCTTAACTTGTATTGAGTTGATCAAGTAGAGTCTTATATGCATCAACTTATTTGTCTAGCAATTCAAAAAACTGTGATTATTGAGTTAATATATTTTGCATAATTTTTGGGGAGTAAAAATATTAATATATTTATTTGATTAAATTAATTTCTCAGCTTTATAAACAGACAATGGTTAATTAAGATTTTTAAATTAACTTAGACATTACAAATCTAATATAAGATAGAATATGTTGAATGGATGAGTATAGAAATAATGAAATGATGAAAAAAATAAAACTTTTTTTAAAACTTATTTTTCCAGTTAGAACTAGAGTTCTCATAATGATATGTTACATTTAACTGACTAAAAGATCATTAATATAACATATATAAGATTCATCACTATTTTATTTCATTTTTTTTAGATCTAATCTATCATCTTTAAAAATCATTTCGTTTTATTTTCTTAGTCATATAGTTCATAAACTATTCTAATTAAAATTAAACTCAAATTCATCAAAAGTACTTTAATAATCATATAAGAATTAATCCTTATGTGAGTGTCCTTAGAAAACATAAATCATGATAAGAATTTTTTAATTTAAGTTATGCTTAAATCAACTTATTTCTTTAAAAATCAATATTTTATATTCTATCCTTCCTATAATTGATACAATAGAATTATAATTACTCTCTAACGAACCTACCTAAGATATTTAAAATTATAAAAAGTAAATTGGTTTTATTAAAAATTGTTCATATATATATATATATTATTTTAACATATCATCTAAAACCAGGTCTAAATCCTGATCCAATTTGACTATTTCCTAATTGAACCATTTCTGTTTTTTATACAAGAGGAACTTCATCAATTTAGTTAGCAAAAACAATGGCCTCACCCAAACCTAATAATTAATTTAATTTAATTACAATGAGCTTTATCAATACCAACACTTTCAGTATCAGCATCTATTCTAAGTACTCCAAATCCTTTTAAAACAAGTAATGTAATCAAAACAAAGAAGGCAACCCATACAAATATTATCAATAATCCCAACAATTACATTCCTAATAATTTAGCACCAAATCCATAGAAAACACCTGCTTTAGTATCAAAGAATGCTGATAAGAAGATTCCCAAAAATCCATTACCCTAAAATAAATGATATATAATACCAAAAACACAGGTACAACTTCAACAGGATCATCAATATGTACTTTTGGAATGACCTTTGCCAAAACACTGTAAAAGACAGCAGCCAATAGACCATAAATGAATGCAGTCCATGGTTTCATATCATCAGTAGCAGCACTTACAGCCACCAAAGCACTAATAATACCTCTAGATAAGGCAACTAAACTTGTAGTTTCATATTAGAAAAATCTAATGACAAAAGCGAAGAATCCCCCAGTAGCTCCAGCAATCAAAGTATTGACAGCAACTAATCCTTATGTATATTTAGAATTAGCTCCTTATGCTACAATACCTCCATTATAGAATAACCATCCAGCAAATACTAAAATTGATCCAAAAGCAATATAAATTGGTGAATGTCTTTAGAATTATAAGGTTGTATTTGGATCAAATCTGAATCTTCTTGGTTTCAATAAGACTGTGACAACTAATCCAGCAACACCTGCAGCGAAAAATACAACACCAGCTCCTGAAAAATCTTTATATCCCAAAGTTGTTAACCTATTTATTTTCTCATTTAATCAATACCATCCTTTTGCTAATGTCCAATGTGCTAATCCAGCATATATGAATCCTGCATATACTATAGCTAATATAGACCATGCTAAGAATGTCATTCTTTCTGCTGCTGCTCCAGATAACACTGATACTGCAATTGCTGCACCTGATGCTCTGAATACTATACAAAATTTGAATATTAACAGAAATACCAAAGTTTGTATAATCATTTCCGTATTGATTTGCTTCCCAATTTGAACCTCCTAATTTTGTACCTCCCATAAAGTTTGTTTAGAAATCATATCCAAATGAAAATCCATATCCAAACTATATTTATTAACTTCATTTATTACCAACCACCATATTAAAATTGTCAAGAATAAACCCAATATCACTTTTATGACTATTGATTATGAATTCTTATATCTCACTGATCCTGCTTCAATAAATGCAAATCCCACTTATGTCAACACGATAATGAACCCTGAAATAAGAACCCAATCATAATCAATAGTTGATGCTTAAGGTGCTGGAATATTGGCTACCGCAGGCGCTGCTGCATATTCAAACACATAATTACCTGCATCTCCTTCTTAATGTCTAAAAAGATGACCCATATCTTCCGTTATTTAAATTTTTTAAAATAAATTTATTTCATAACTAAATAAAAAATAACATTTATATTCATGAATTATACTAAATCTCACTATCGTTTATTATTTACATTATTCTCATATTACCTAGTTCTAATTTTGGGTATTCGAATGCCTACTCTCAAGAAATAAAGTCTAAAGCTCTAATTAAATTTATTAAATTTTATTTATGTGTTAGAGAATTTACATAAAATAATTAATAATCTTATAAAAAGCTCTTATATATTGAAATTAATAACATAGTTCTTCTATAAGTTAATCAAAAATAGATTCAAAAATTTACTACTATGTAAATATTAAAGAAATCCTTTCTTAAGTACATTTTTAAAAGTCCTTCTAACTTGTATCTTTCTCTAAATGCTGGATATAAATTTTGTCATTTTATATATATAAAATTTGAATTTAAATTCAGAGGGAAAAATTCATATTACGAATGAGCTCAGATTTTAAATAAGATGGAACTCCATTTACTAAATTGTTTTAAAGATTAGAAAATATACATCAATCTCCTGTTTTTAATGCTGATTGTCTCTAACACTAAGATGACATGTATATAAAAGACTAGTCCCCTGAATAAGTATGTAAGAAATTAGAATTCACTCCATATTTGAAATCTCCTAATCAGTATTTACTATCCATTATAAATTTTAGATTTTAACCTTATTCTCCATTAAATCATTAGACAACTAAAAAGGCAAATATATTTGTTATATCTCCTGCCAGATAAATCAACTTTGACCACACAAAGACAGAATAACGACTAGTTAATATAAGTTCACCTCTCAGTTCAATGAAGATACCAGATGATTTATTATGTGAGGAGGAAGAGATCTTATCTGAAGATCAAGATAATCGTTCTCAATTTAGAAGTCCTCCTAAATCACCTCATAGAAAATTAGAAAGAGCTACAAAATTGAAATTCATCAATTTTGTTACCTTAAAAAAACCACTAAAATTTACAAGTGATTAAATAACAAATAGAAAACGTACAAGTTCTAAAAGAAGAAAACCACAAACAGAATAAAAACCAAAAATAATTGTATGTAATTGTAAGAAATCTAAATGTCTTAAATTATATTGTGATTGCTTTGCTGCAGGTGTAACATGTGGTAAAGATTGTAATTGTTGTTCTTGTCATAATAATGATGATCATACAAAAGAAAGAGAAACTGTAATCAAATAAATCATGGAAAGGAATCCTTCTGCATTTCGCCCTAAAGTTGAATCTAAAGTATATAATAATTTTATCAATTAGAGTAATTCAGAAGATGAATAAGATCATAAACCAAGACATTTTAAAGGATGTAATTGTAAAAAATCAAATTGCTTAAAAAAATATTGTGAATGTTATTAAATGGGAGTTAAATGTTCTGAATTATGTAAATGTGATGAATGTAAAAATTGTGAAATGCCTGTTAAAAAGGACTCAAGAAAAAGGATAAAACATGTACATCAAAATTTTAAAAATACTGAAATCTATTGAGTTAATAATTTAAGTTTTGGGATTTTTTTTCAATATTTTGCTATGCATTTTTTCACTTTAATTTTGATTAAAATAAATTATGATTAAATTGATTCTATATATGTTATTCTTATTAAGGTTAGCTATTTGATTATAAGTTTTATTAAATAGAAGATTAATTACAATTTTCAATTTCTGAAATCATAAAAGATTCTAATTTTGATAATATAAATAAGTATCATTAAATTTATTCTAATCCCTGATATTAATAAAAATAAAACAACTACTAAAAATATAATAATAAAATAGATTTATAATCATAAATAATTCCTATATAGATTTACACCTCATTTTTTTTTCCCTCCTTTAGCAGTATCTCCAGCTTTACCTCCTGCTCCTGTTGCTGCAGCACCTCCTTTTGCACCACTTGCTGCTTTATCTTTATCACCAGCTTTTCCAGCTGCTGGTTTATCATCATCATCTTCTTCTTTTCTAATAGCTGGCTTTCTTGCTTTATAATATATAATATATATATAATACCTTTAGGTGTATCTTCATCATCTTCTTCTAATTCTTTAAGTCTTGCTGCTTCTTCAGCTGCAGCTTCTTCTGCTAATTTCTCTTATTAAATATGCTCTAATTAATCTTCTTAATCATTGAGATCATCATCACCAATTACATCTCCATCTCTATTTAATGCTGTATATTTATTCATTAAAATAATTCTCTATCTTTTTATACTTCTAACAATACTCCTTACATGACTTGCTGGAGGGTGCTAAATAAAAAATATAGCTAACATAAGCTTTATCATTTGCTGCAATTTAAATAGATGCTACATCTATGCTGTCTAATGGTACTGCCAATTCTAATAACCATAAAGGATACTCATCAATCTCTTTGATTTCTGGGTCTTTTCTATCTTTCCAAATATTTATTAAATCATCAGAAGTAGCAACTGCTTCTACTTTTGCTTTTTTTGGTCCTCTTATCCACATTTAATTATACTAATTTTAAAAACTTCTATACAATTGATGTAGATCTAATAAGTAATCCTAAACTTCTATACATTAAATTTAATTTAATTATATAAAATTAATTTATTTGATAAAATATATATTAATAGTATTTTATTTAATAAATAAAATTCTAAAGATGAAAAATATTCAAAAAATTTCACAATTTTGACAGACTGTTTTATCTGATGATTTTTTTCCAATTAAATATTTATGTAGTTATAATCCATCACTTGCAATTATCATTTTATCAATTTGTAAAAAGCACATAAGTTTTGCTGGTTTAGAAGTATTAACCATAAGTTCATTTCCTTTATTTTCTTTCAATTAATTCAATTATGTGCTAATTTAAATTGATCCAATATATTTTTCACAAACCCAAACAAGATAATTATCAGATAAAGTTAATGCTAAAGGTACATTATTTCCATTAATTTAACATTTTTACACAATTGTAATATTACCTAAAATTATAATTAAAAATACCATCTTTAATATGAAAAATTGGGATTTAAGGGAGATTCTTACATATACCTGCAAAGTATTCAGATGATATTAATTGTAAATTATGGATCTAAGAATCATTTTGAAATTTAGCACTAAAATTAGTTAAAGAATATTACGATTATTCATATGCTAAATATTTTCCATATATTATTAGATTCTCATGAGATGAAATAATCTATTTGTTTTCATCATCATAAATTAAATCCACAACAGATCTATCTATATCTTTATACTTTTTAATTATAGAAGGTGGTTAAGTATCAAATGCTAAAATCATAATTTCTCCTATTTCTGATCCCAAGATACATAAATCATTTCTCATGTATTTCATCACCTAATATAATCTATTTTTAATTTACTGTGATCTTATCATATTAAAAATTAATAATTTTTTCACAATTAAAAGTTTTAGTCTTCAAATTTACACCAAAAATTTCTCCAGATTATGTTATCCCAACACATATATTAAGTTTCTGTAAATATGATAAAAAAGAGACGTCTGCATTAGGATTATTTAATACTTTAAGTAAATATGCATTCTGATACACCGTTTAAGGATATTAATCTTATTCCTTCATTAGAATAAGCCAATATTTGACTACCTGCAGAAATAATCTTTTTATGATTTGATAAATCATTAATAGTTCCTAAATATCTCAAAATTGTATTTTAATTAGAATATAATTTAATTGCTTTTGTTTATTCATCATTAATTTAAGCTGGATGAACAGATTAATCTTTTTCACTAAAATAATTAATTAATTTACTCATCTTCATAATCAGGATTTAATGCTTTTAATGCTTAAAGCCATGTAAATCTATTTCTTTCACTAAATTCTGTCATACCTTAAATACAAGCCTTTATTTAAGGATTTTAAATTCTGTTAATTTGAGTTTATAATTTCTTCCAACCTTAACATTCTTTCTTTTTTATTGGATCATCACTAGTATCAATAGCATTTCCAGTTTTTTCTTCATATATTATGGGATCATTTAATTTTGAAAGATCTTTATCACTAAGAAGTAAAATCATTTAAAGAAATGTAATTCCTAATGAAAATATATCACTTTTCTCTAAATCATGTCTAATTTATATTCAAAATTTACTTAACTTTTCCTGGTTAATTAGTTGTATAAGCAATATATAGTTTAGGTGAAAGAAACAAAGGTGTTCCTACTAATGTATTAAGCATTGCTTATCCATTAAAATTCTCTTTTCCTGCCCCAAAATCAGCTAATTTAACTGTATATGGTTTTCTACAAGTAACTAATATATTTTCTGGTTTAATATCTCTGTGAAACAAATGTTTGTTTTTTGCTAGATAATGAAATGCTTTCAAACATTAATTCATAATATCAATCAACATAAAATCTATAGAATATGTATATATTTATTAATACCCCCAAATTCTAATTAAGCCTTTCTTCTTTCATCAATATCTACTTTTAAGCTATTTTCAGCTAATTCCATTGCAAAAACTAAAATATATTTTTTCGCTGGCATATCTTCTATCCAAGTGTAAACTTTATGAACTTTTATAACATTTTAATGATAAGTAATCACTTGATATAAGTTCAATTCCTGAATAGCAAGCTCATATGCCTATTCGCTTAAGTTAATTTATTTTTATACTTAGGTGTTTCAATAATTTTTAGGGCATAATATCCTTGAGGAAGTGATTTTAGAGCTTTTGCTTTATATACTTTTCCAAATGTTCCTTATCCTAACATCTAGGAATTCTTGAAATCAAAGTCTTCTTAAAATTCAATTTTGCTTGCAAATTATTGCATAATGATATAATTTGTATTTATCGAAATTAAAATAATATAAAATTAAACTAAACATACTGATGTATTTTTATGCTATCAAGATAATAAAATATCTCTATTTATATTATCTTCTCATAATATTAGATTAAATAGACAAATTAATCAAAATAGAAAAAATTCATTTAATATTTATGGAAAATTCAATATTTTACGGAAAATTAATTTAAAAATTCAAAAATCGCATGAAGCTTTTTGAATGTGATTATTTGAATTCAAAATATATATTTCATTTTTACCTTCAATCCACATTTTTTCAAAAACATTATTTTAAACTTATAATTTAGATATTTTTGAGGTTGTTATATTCCATCTTATCAAACTATTACCAGTGTTCAAAAATAAGTATTTTCTATTTTAAGAATATTTGATATCACATATATTTTATAAGACTTTATCAGAAAATTTTCTTATTAATTTTTTGCATTATAAATTCTTCAAGAATAACTTATAGTTATTTTCATAAGTAATTATTGACAATAATTGATTTGATTCAGTAAAATGAATTATTTTATTACTTTCTATAAATTTATGTTTCTATTTACAAAAATTATTTTTCAAATACATAACTTATAATTGATTTTAGAATGCTATATTAATAATGAAATCCACGCTTGTTTTTTGAAGAACTCTATATTCACCATCAAACTATAATATTAATTCTAGATTTTCTTAATTCAAATCTATTAATTTCAATGCATCATTTTAATATAAATATATCTTATTTTCTTATTCAATTAGTATATAACTGTCAAGAGGAAGAAAACTTTAAGGTAATTTGTAACAGATTTCAGATCTTGTGCTTAATTCAATAATTCTCAAACTTTTGCTTTCTTCCTATGCTATACATATCTTTTTTTCATCAGAAGTAAATTGTAAATCATATAATTAAAATTTGACAAAAGTCAATTCAAAAATAATCTTTTTTGTTAAAAGGCTAATCACATATAGTTTTTTTCCTTCAATTACAAAAGCCACAAGATTTCCAGATTTAGATACTAAAAAATGAGATATAAAGTCTGTTTCTCTTAATTTCCAAATAGTTTACCAATCTTTTGATACTTAAGTATGTTGGGACTTTTTTGGTTAATACATGTTTTATTTATTGTAAAATTTGTTCGAATTTTATAAATAAATAAATTAGACAAATTTAAAAAGGAATTACGATAAAAATTATTTTATTTTATTTAATTATATTGAATTATAAAAGTAATTAAAAATATTTAATTTATTAAATTATATATTTTAATATGCCATAAATTTTCATAAATAACAAGTATTAAAAGACAATCAATTATTAATACTATCAATCAACTGTTTCAATTAATCTATTTCAAAAACACCTAAATTTCTATTCAATTTATAAAATTAGGATTCAATATAATCAAGAGATGCTTTTTAAAATTTTATATCATTTTCTTAAAATAGATCAAATAAATCCTATTATTATAATATTTTTAATTTACATTCACATTAAGTTTATTTCTAGGGCTTTGAAATTTTGATTAAAGTTGATTACAAATCATTTCAAGATTGTTTGCATTCAAATTTGTCTAAATTTCATTCAAAACCTATTTATTAGGCAATCGAAAATTATCTAATAATGTCTTTAAAATGCTTCTTATCCTTGAATTATTTTATGGTTTGTCTATATTCATTTCATCTTCTTAATCAAATAAATAATTTGCCAAAGTACATGCTTATTCCTTAGTTAAATTGAAAATTTATTATTATAAACTATCTTTAAGTTCATCTAAAGTAGTTTCTTATTAATTTTTAAACAAGTACTATCATAAGTAAAAAGTATATTACAGTATCTAATTCATCAAAAGAAATTTTATTAATAATCATAGAAAATTTGATAATTTTTACAATTTAACCAAGATCTTATTTGTTAATTTTAGAATATTTAGATTTACCAATACCACTTAAAGATCTTTATGATGTAATAAGTGAAAAATCTCCTGAATTTCTACCAACAATTTGATGTTATGAAAACATAGAAGGTTTGACAATAGAATTGGATTTCTCATTCTTTTTAAGTTTAGCTTTTTAAATTTGCTCTTCTTATAAAGCCTTACTTAAAGATTCACATCTTTCTTATAATAATTACATTTCATCATCTTTCTCCATAATTCTTCTATCATATTTTTTAATTTCTTATTAATGTCTCTCTATTAATTATTCTATATAGATTTCATCTTCTTATCTCTTTTAACTTAATTTATGAATATCTGAGAATAGTTTTCTAAATATAGTAAAATTAATACTTAATTTATTGATCTTATTTACTCTTTTAATTATGTTTAGCTGCAAATAATAAATCTCTTTCTTTGTATTATCTAATCTCTTTTTACAATTCATTAATGAGTTATTTTTATTATTAAATTTTGACTTATTATGTTACAATATGTTTTTTCATTTAATCTTAATCTTTTAATTTCTCTTCTAAACCTGTTACAATTTAAACTAGTTTAATATTATCTTATTCTAATTCATCAAGGATAGTAAATTATGGGGTTAATATATTTCTTTGATTTCCTAATAATTTTTCTTTTTGTAATTCAATCGTATTTTAAAGTTCAGCTATTTTTTTTTAATAATTCATGATTTCATCCATTTTCAATTTTTTTTTTAAAGTCTCTATTTCAACTTCTTTAGATTATAATAATTTAAGTAAATGTTTAAATTTTTAATTGTTTCGAACAGTTTTCACTTATATATCATCATCTGATAACTGTTGGTGAAAGCTTTCAATATCTTTCTTTATATTAATAATTCCTTACTTGATAATAAATATTCTATGATTTCAATTAAATATTTTCTATTCTTAATTAATTGAGCTCTTGTTTGATTTTTAATAATTGATCTTATTAATCTTCTTTATCATAATAAGAATTTCTTGATTCATGTTTGGACAAAAATCCAAATGAATTGACTAGATGATGTCTAGGACGATGAGATTCATGACAAGATTAATTGATTGATCCTATTGATCTATTTTTACAAGACTCAGGAAACATAAATAAATTTAATAAAGTAATATCAAATAATACCCTAATATTTTTATTATTTGTCCTTAAAATTATTTAAATATTAAGTGATAAAACTTAAATTCTAATCTTTTAGATATAATTATTTAGTAATTATTAAATGTCACTAAAATGACTTTTTAATTTAAACAATATAATGAATTTCTCTAATTACTGAAAATATATATTAGAGTGATTTCATTAAATTTTCAACTCTGATTCTTATTGATAAAGGGATAATTAAAATAATTAAAATTAATAAAATATTAATCTATTGAATGTTGATTAAAATTAATATTTTGTAAATCTAATTGCATATAGTGATATCACTTTATTTATTTAATCCTAATTGATTTTTAAAAGTGATTTATTACAAAAGTTGCCAAGTTAATGAATCTAAGTTTTTTTTCATTTCAATTTCTGATATAAAAAATTGATTAGACTATTTTCTTAATTAATTTCCTGTTATTATTATACAACAATAAAAAATGGGTTGTACCTGCAATTAAAGAATTACATCACCGTATAAAGAATTTGATTTAGAAGAAATTATCTTTGGAAGAACATATATTTATGGTCCTCCATCTATTGAAAAACCCTAACCTATTCAATTATTGAAATTTTCTGATGATGATATAAATTATCAATAAGATAAAGAATTTTAATATTCTCCTTAGAAGATTCACTCATAAGAACAGACAAATGCATATATTTCAAGTGGAGATTTTAGACTTATGGAATAAAAATTGTCAGTAGATGAAGCCTTAATATTAAATGAATAACATGAATAACAAGAATAGAATAGTATTTTAAAGGAGGATAGGAATAGTTAGATGAAAGACTCAAATTAAGATATTGTAAAATACAAATCAATATTGAAACACAAAAGTACAAATACCATAAATACTTCATACCCATAAAGTCCACAAAATTAGCTCAAAGAATCTTAAACTTCAAACACTTAAAAATCCATAAAAAAAGTTACTTTTGATAAAAAATCAAAAGTTGTATATAGTAGCTTCAGAAGAATTCAATATTGAACCAATACAATTTATTTTCATTATATTTTTCTTACAAAATTATTATCATATATCAAATAATTATTTTGTAATTAACTAAACTTCTAATTATTTCAGGAGAAAAATATAATCATATAAATAAAGGCGATATTAAGTTTACTAAATATATTATCAAAATGATTGTAATTTTTGTTTAAAATATAATCTAAATTATTGTTAAGAGTATCTTAAATAATATATCAATATAAAAGCTAACTTAATACAAAAAATATATGCTTCTGATTTCAATATCATCTATGATAAAGGATATCATTCTATTAAATAAATATATTCATTATTTAATGATTATTAATAGTTTGACGTCATTATATATTAATTTTAATGAAGCTTTTTATTGTTGTCTTATTGATATTAGCAACAAGTGCAATTTCAATTAACTCTAAATGTACAGCAGAAGTTACCAAGCTTACACCCAGATTTTCTAAATTATATGGAAATGTTAATGAAAGAAAAATTGTTTCAAGTGTTAAAGAATTAGTTGGAATTTTAAAATCATTAATAGCTGTAAAAAAATCTTGTTCTGGTTCAGATGGAGTTGATTTATCAACATTTACAAAAAAAATAGGAGTTTGTTTGAAAGGAGGTTTTGAATTAGCTACTAATGCTTATAAATCATATAATGAATTTGAAGAAGATGGATTCTCAGATATTCTTGTGGATAGTTTAGTTGAAATGTCACATTTGGTGGAACCTGTAATAACAAATTGTTGGGGAGATGAAGTAAAATCAGCCTTAGGATTTGTTTTACCTGATTAATGCATCTCAGTTATTGATGATGTTGCAAAGGTTTCATTATAAATTATAGAATAAAAAGAAAGACCATTGATGGTGACTAAGGGATTAATCAATTTAT